AAAAAAAAAAAAAAAAAAGAATATACTTAGCAGCGCCTGTGGTTCAGCAGGTATGGCACCTGCCACATAGACTGAGGCTGGTGGGTTTGAACCCCACCCGGGCCAGCTAAAACAACAATGACAACAACAAATAGCTAGGCAGGCGCTGTGGTCCTAGCTACTTGGGAGGCTGAGGCAGGAGAATCACTTAAGCGCAGGAGTTTAAGGTTGCTATGAGCTGTGATGCCACAGCACTCTACCCAGGGCAATAGCTTGAGACTCTGTCTCAAAAAAAAAAAAAGACTGGGCATTGTGGCGGGTGCCTGTAGTCCCAGCTACTCGGGAGGCTGAGGCAAGAGAATCGTCTAAGCCCAGGAGTTGGAGGTTGCTATTAGCTGTGTGACACCATGGCACTCTACTAAGAGAGATAAAGTAAGACTCTGTCTCTACAAAGAAGAAAAAAAAAAAAAATATATACTCTATAAGGTATAACAAATATTATGAGTAAAGAAACATAGGTAAGAACAAATAATACATAGGTACTACTTTTATTTTCCTAAAATAGAAATCCTAAATTCTATTTTTCTCTTTTTTTGAGACAGAGTCTTATTCTGTTGCCTAGGGTAGAATACTGTGGCATCATGGTAGCTCACAGTAACCTCATACTCCTGGGCTCATGTGATCCTCTTGCTTCAGCCTCCCGAGTAGCTAGGACTATAGGGACACTGGGTCTTGCTCTTGCTCAGGTTGGTCTAACTCTTGAGCTCAAGTGATCCTCCCACCCTGGCCTCCCAGAGTGCTAGGATTATAGGCATGAGCCACCATCCCCAGTCCAGAAATCCTAAATTCTAGAAATATATTTGCAGAATATTAATACTTGAATAAAATATACATCTGGCAAAAGTAGAAGAATCTTTCTGTGTATTTGTGGAATAAATCAACACGTCTTAGAGTCAAATGTGTGTGAATCACAAGAAAAAAAAGATGCAAATCATCTTAACTTTCTTAAAGTCAATCTCAGTTGATATTTCAGCATTTGACCAGAGTTTTTGTTGCGAAATGCTTTCCAGGGCCCAAAGAACTGACAGGGCCACTGGATCTGCATCCCTACTTTCTTGAGAAAAGAGGACTATCAACTCTAAATTTTAAATTATGTTTCAGAATATTTGCGTACTATTACTGTACTGTTACGAACTGTTACATACTGTGTACTGCTACTACTACCTTTATGAGGCTTATAAATCTGGATTCAAAAAGAACACACTTTATTCTAACAGTAACATGTTTTCTTTTCTTTTTGAGACGGAGCCTCATTTTGTTGCCCTGGGTAGAGTGCTCTGGTATTATAGCTCATAGCAACCTCAAACACCGTACTCAACTGATCCTCTTTTCTCAGCCTCCTGAGTAGCTGGGACTATAGGTATAGGCCGCAGCGTCTGGCTAGATTTTTTTTTTAGAGATGGGGTCTTGCTCTTGCTCAGACTAGTCTCAAACTCAGCTTAAGCAATTCACTGGCCTTGGCCTCCCAAAGTGCTAGGTTTACAGCCATGAGCCACTGTAGCCAAGATGTAGCTTATTTTCAAGAATGTTTCTTATTCTGCATTCCATCCTACAATTTACTGCTTGAAAACCAAAAAAAATTCCATGCTTTCCCATGTGAATGTCTCTTATCTCTAAAACAGAAGCCCATAGTTTGATGAAAATATTCCAAATTGTATATAAAAATAGCACACTGTACCCCATGACAGTATTAATATACACAGCTATGATTTAATAAAAAAAAAAAAATAAAACAGAAACCCTTATGCATGAAGAGAGATAACTTTATTCATTTAATCAACAAATATTTATTGTATATCTACCAAATTCAAAGTGTTATTCCAGGGGTTGAAGACAGAGCAAGAAACTCTGTCCTCATGGAGCTTACATTTTAGTGATAGAAGATAAACAGAAAGCAAGAAAGCATCCAGCATGCCAGAAATTATAAGTGCTATTGAGAAAAGTAAATCAAAGGACAACAGGGAGGGTGGTGACAGAGGTACAACTTTATAGGCAGGAGCCAAGGAAGGCCTTGCAAAGTTACAAATAAGGAAAAAGATCTTAAGGAAAGGGAGTAAACTATGAGGATTTGTAAGGTAAAAGCATTTCAAGTAAAGGACACAGGAAATACAAAGACTCTCTAATACAGGGAAGAGCTTGCCTACTGTGCTTGAAGAACAGTGGGGAGGCCAGTGTGGTGACAGTGGAGTGATGGCTTACAAACTGATAGGAATGATTCCCTAAACTAGAAGGAATACTGATGATGTAAGATAGAAGACAACTGTTATAACAAAGGAGATGCAACAAAGAAAGAAGAGGCAGGGGAAGCAGGCATGTAGGTAGGAGAGTAACTATGACAGAGTCCATGCTGGGTAAAGAAAGAGTCAGAGAGTGAGAATGTGAGATATAACAGGAACTGTGAAAAAGTGGTTGTAGGTCCCAAGAATTATTCAAGGGAATGAATAATTTTTAGAGCTGGGAGGCTAAGGGGAATTGGTAGTAAACTAGCAGACTTCCTGAAATATGGACTGGGAGGGAAGAGGAGCAGTTATTGGTAATTAGAACATCTCTAGAGAATGTCCAGGGAATGGGTAGCTGAGGTAAGGAGAGAAGATCAAGTGAGAAGCCAAGGTATTACACAGATCATCTACATGGATACTGAAATAACAAGGAGAGCGGAGGGGTGGGGGAACTGAAATGACCTGCGAGTTAGTTGGTAGATGACAGCAACAAAAGATAATAGATGGTATAATTTGATGATACAAGCTGCAAAGCTACAAATTGTTAGAAAAGAGGAGAAATGGTCTAGATATGACAATGAGGAGGTTCAGAGACACTTTCCCCACTTCCAGGCCCAGTAACAAAAGGGTATGAGACAAAAAATAGCAATTATTGCAAATGGCTACTAGGAAAGCAATGTCACTAGGGTGTAGCCAAGTTTCTACTAGAGTCAGAAGGTGAGGCAACACTATGAAATTCTTAAAGTAAGTGGGAAATTTTTGAGAATTGACAAGGGTCAGAATCAGGGATGTAAAGAGCCATATGGGGATGAGAGTCAGATGCTGAGAAATGACCTGGCATTCTTGTTATAACTACTAAAACAGGGCATGTGACCAAAGACATGCCACAAAATGACAATAAAAAAATACACAATGTAGTGTGTTCTAGAGGGATTACAGGACAAAAGTCATTGACTGAGACTTATTTTTCTAAACATTGCCCAAAAGAATGAAACAAAAGAGACACTGGATCAGTAGCTATGATATCTGGCTTAGACATAAAGATGACAGACATGGGCGGCACCTGTGGCTCAAAGGAATAGGGCGCCAGCCCCATATGCCAGAGGTGGCAGGTTCAAATCCAGCCCTGGCCAAAAAACTGCAAAAAAAAAATGACAGACAAATCAGTGAGGTTTAAAAATTGGATAAAAATTAGCAGAAGAACAATAATCTATTTGGTCAAACTAACCAGCACCCAGGCTCTAGTGATGATTTTTAAAAATAGAAACCAAGGATGGGTGCCGTGGCTCACGTCCATAACCCCAGCACTCTGGGAGGCTGAGGCAGATGGACTGCTTGAGCTCAGCAGTTTGAAACCAGGCTGAGCAAGAGCAAGATCTGGTCTCTAAAACTAGCCAGGCGTTGTGGCAGGCACCTGTACCAGCTACTTGGGAGGCTGGGCAAGAGGATCACTTAAGCCCAAAAGTTTGAGACTACTGTGAGCTATGACACCACAGTACTCTAGTATGAAAGTGAGACATTGTGTCAAAAACAAAAAAGATACCACTAAATGTGATGACTTAGATTATCTACTGATTGTCTCCTCAAAAAGTCAGTCAAACATTACCAAGTATAATAGATAAAATCTTAAAGAAATAGAAAAAAGTATTTCAAATATAAAATAATGAAAACATTGTGTACAACTAAAATGCATTGTATTAAAACAAAATCAAAACCACTTACACTGGCAGCACCCGGAGTTCAGTGGGTAGGGCGCTGGCCATATACACCCAAGCTGTATACAAGCTGGCCATATACACCCAGGTTAGAACCTGGCCCAGGCCAGCTAAAACAACAATGACAACTACAACAACAACAAAAAAAATAGCAGGGTGTTGTGGTGGGCACCTGTAGTCCCAGTTACTTGGGAGGCTGAGGCTGAGACAAGAGAATCGCCTAAGCCCAAGAGCTGGAGGTTTCTGTGAGCCGTGACGCCACAGCACTCTACCGAGGGTGATAAAGTGAGACTCTGGCTCTAAAAAAAAAAAAAAAAGCCAAAAAAAGACCTAAACCAAACAGAGGAAATCAGACAACACCCTCCCTCTTTGAATACTGTAAGAAAATGTAAACATTTCTAACAGCAAATTAAAAACTACAAGAAAGTTCCCCATACATACTTTTGTGTGTTCATATGGAATGTCCAAAGAAGGGTGGTAGCATACTATTGTCCTGCCATCAGATGTCAAAGCAAGCTCTACTTTGCTAGAAAAGAATGTTTCAGAAAGTGAGTTATACTGTATAAAAGGCAGAATGATTCCTTTTAGAGCTAAAATTAACCACAAATTGCTAAAGAGAAGATACTACATCACTAGATTGGCAAACCTGTACCCACAACATAGGGGAAGACTTAAGATTTTCAATAGAACATTTCAGCTTAACTACCACAACAAAATATACTTTATAGTATATAACCAGTATTTAACTACTGATTAAACTATAAAGTATATTTTAGTTAACAGAAGATAAGGCATTAGATTGTTTCGCCATGATTTTAAGATTGAATACCATAATATGAATTTAATGAACATTTAATCAACTGATTTTTGATGAAAGATGAATTTATTTTACACAATGCAAAACATTTAACATAACTCAACCTTTCCAAGATTAAAAATGTTACCTAGTCCAATCTCACCACTACCTACCTTAGCACTCACTACATGTACAATTAAAACCAGTGTTGAGAAAAGAAAAAAATTTTTATTAAAATGTGCAATAAAAACAGCATAGTTTGGCTCGGCACCTGTGGCTCAAGTGGCTAAGGCGCCAGCCACATACACCCAAGGGGGAGGGCTCAAATCCAGCCTGGGCCCGCCAAACAACAATGATGGCTGCAACCAAAACATAGCCAGGTGTTGTGGCAGGCACCTGTAGTCCCAGCTACTTGGGAGGCAGAGGCAGGAGACTTGCTTGAGCCCAGGACTTAGAAGTTGCTGTGAGCTGTGATGCCACAGCACTCTACCCAAGGGAACAGCTTGAGGCTCTGTCTCAAAACAAACAAACAAACAAAAAAACAACAACATAGTTTAAGAAAATATACCACAAGGCAGTGCCTGTGGCTCAGTGAGTAAAGCGCCGGCCCCATATACCCAGGGTAGGGGGTTCAGACCCCGGCCCCGGCCAAAAAATAGTGGGATGTTGTGGCGGATGCCTGTAGTCCCAGCTACTTGGGAGGCTGAGGCAAGAGAATCACTTTAGCCCAGGAGTTGGAGGTTGCTGTGAGCTGTGTGATACCATGGCACTCTACCCAGGGTGATAAAGTGAGACTCTGTCTCTAGAAAAAAAAAAAAAAAAGAATATATACCACAGTTTCTGCACATCAGACTACTATAAAGAGAAAAGACTGGCAGTGCTTGTGGCTCGAGGAGTAGGGTGCTGGCCCCATATACCAGGGGTGGTGGGTTTAAACCCGGCCCTAGCCAAAAAAAAACAACTGCAAAAAAAAAAAAAAAACCATTAAGGCAGCGCCTATGGCTCAAAGGAGTAGGGCGCTGGTCCTATATACCGGAGGTGGCCAGTTCAAACCCAGCCCTGGCCAAAAACTACAAAAAAAAAAGACAACATCATATGTTATTCCTAGCTCTTCTCATAGTGACTAGTATTGAGAAAGTACCAACTAACTGGTAGTTACATTAAATACTTGTAATTTAAATACCTGACTTGTATTTAATGTCAAACAAAAGATAAGATAAATAATTGCTTAAGCTAGTCAATATAAACTCTAAAACTATAAAAAACAATTAACTTTTCCAAAAAGTTAAAGCATGCTTCAGAAAGAAAAGATAGCATTTCTTTTTCTTTTTTTTTTTTTTTTAGAGACAGAGTCTCACTTAATGCCCTCAGTAGAGTGCTTGACGTCACAGCTCACAGCAACCTCTAGCTCTAAGGCTTAGGTGATTCTCTTGCCTCAATCTCCCAAGTAGCTGAGACTACAGGTGCCCACCACAACACCCAGCTATATTTTTGTTGCAGTGTGGCCAGGGCTGGGTTCAAATCCACCACCCTTGGTATATGGGGTCAGTGCCCTACCCACTGAGCCACAGGCACTGCCCAAAAAGATAGCATTTCTAACAATACGTCTGTTTTACAACAAATTAAGTATCCAATGAAATACAATGATAATGATTTTTATTTAATTTAACCTTTGCAAGCCTAGATATTGAGTAAATAAGATCACTGATATAATTTTTAAAAACAAAATTAAGAAAAAATCAAAAAAGAAAGCAGAAAACACCAAAACAAGAAATAAAATTGAATCTTTTCAAATACAGTCAAAATTGTTATTTTGTTCAACTAAATTTCAATACATACCAATTATAGTCATCTGGTAGAGAAGAATATGTAGATTTATGACAAACGCAATATAAAGCTCCATCTGCAAAAACCACAAATAGTAAAATAGATTTAATTACTAAATTTCCCACATAAATTTAAAGCTAGTTTTACTCATTCAACCAACATTTACTGTTTACTATGAAACAGGGCTCTAATAGGGACCAAGGATTAAACGACAAATAAGACTCAGTCCTTGGCTTGGCACTCGTAGCTCAGTGGTCAGGGAGCCGGCCACATACACCAGGGCTGGTGGGTTTGAACCCGGCCCCGGCTGCCTAAACAACAATGACAACAACAATAACAAAAATAGCTGGGCTTTGTGGCAGGCGCCTATAGTCCCAGCTACTTGGAAGGCTGAGGCAAGAGAATCTCTTAAGCCCCAGATTTTGAGATTGCTGTGAGCTATGACACCAGGGCACTCTACCCAGGGCGACAGTGAGACTCTATCTCAAAAAAAAAAAAAAAAGATGTAAGAAGTTAGGTCACTGAGTACCACTGAAAAGATTTTCTAATTAATTCTTAGCTAACTAGATATTTTGACAGTAATTCTAATCCATTCAGATCATTTCAACAAACATTTATTTATTTCTCATTGTGAATGCGAGAAAGGGTGGGACACAAAAATGAATTAGATCCAGTACAAATTTAGTGGGAAATCAAGTGGGGGGAAAAGACACAAAATAATTTTCAATTACCCAAGGACAGACTAACTGCTGTTCAGATTAACCTGTGAGTTACTAATTGCTGTTTCAAGGCATAGACTGTAAAAACTGATTAGGTCTAACTTCTCATTAGCCTTGGGGCTGAGTGCTCGTCAGGGCAAAGTAGCAGGGACCTCTTTTCCAATTCCCAACAACAAAAATGCTACTAAATATTCAAAAGCTCATTGTGTTTTTGTTTTATCTCCCTTTATATTTAATGTCTCTCAGCAATCTCCTTCTCTGTTTACTTGATTCTAAATTGATTTTACTTTGAATATAACATAATAAATGTTATTATGCTCGGAATCCTGTGAGTAAAGGAGCAGGGATGGAAAGCTTCCTATAAGAGTTGGACTTAACAAACTTCTGAACATTCTATTCAACAACGGTTTTTACTGGGCAAAACATTTTTCCCTGTCTCAAGTGTCACCAGATTAGATACTTACTATTTTGATTTTTACCCTCGTCTTTAAATAGCTCTTTTTCCCTTTAATCAATAAGAAATTTTCAATTACAAATGAAGGAAGAGTTAAGGTCAAGCAGAGATGTATAAAAATGTTGACTGCCAGGCAGCACTTGTGGCTCAAAGGAGTAGGGTGCTGGCCCCATATGCCAGAGGTGGTGGGTTCCAACCCAGCCCCAGCCAAAAACTGCAAAAAAAAAAAATGTTGACTGCCATACCTAAACATGCAAAAGCAAATCTGCTATAGCTTGCTAATCATGCCAACTTTAGAAATGGGAGAACAGAGTTCATGAAGGAAAAGGACAGCACAACTGGCAGAAAAATAAGATTTTAATATTCTATTTATACACTTGGGCCCATGCTTTGACTGTCAAATATGTATTAATAGGCTTTCAAGAAAATATTAGATTACAAGCAGTTCTTTAGGAAACTAAGGTAGCCGGGCATGCTGGCTCACACCTGTAAATCCTAGCACTTTGGGAGGCTAAGATGTGTGGATTGCTTGAGCTCAGGAGTTCGGGACCAGCCTGAGCAAGAGAGAGATCCTGTTGCTACTAAATACAGAAACATTAGCCAGGCATTGTGGTGAGAGCCTATAGTCCCAGCTATTTTGGAGGCTAGTCAAAAGGATCTCTTGAGCCCAACAAGTTGAGATTGCTATGAGTTAGGACAGCATGGCACTCTATCTGGGACCAAAGAGAGAGACTCTTGTCTCAAAAAATAATAATAATAATAAAGAAAAGAAAAAAGAAAAAGAAAGGTAGAAATTGAGGCCAAGAAGGGGGATTTGCTTCAGCTCAGGAGTTTGAGACCAGCCTGGCAAGAGTGAGACCCTACCTCTACCAAAAATAGAAAAAAATAGGCTGGGTGTTTTGGTGGATACCTATAGCTTGGGCTATATAGTAGGTTAAGCTGAGACATGAATATCACTTGAGCCCAAGAGTTTGAGGTTGCTATGAGTTATGATGATGCCACAGCTATTTTGTTGTTATTGCTGCAGTTGTCATTGTTGTGTACCAGGCCCGGGCCAGCTCAAACCTGCCAGTTTCATTGTATGTGGCCAGCGCCCTACTCACTGACCCTACATTTAGTTCTTTAAATGATTACGTATAGAGCAAAAATAAGAAGTGAATCCTGAAAATATTGACAATGATTATTTCTGGAAGATGAAACTGTGAATTTACCCTTTATTTGCAAATTTTAAGAAGAAGTAAAACGGGCAGTGCCTGTGGCTCAGGGAGTAAGGTGCCGGCCCCACATACCGAGGGTGGCAGGTTTAAACCTGACCCAGCCAAACTGCAATTAAAAAAAAAAAAAAAAAATAGCGGGCGTTGTGGGCGCGCCTGTAGTCCCAGCTACTCAGGAAGGTGAGGCAAGAGAAGTGCCTAAGCCCAGGAGTTGGAGGTTGCTATGAGCTGTGACTCCACAGCATTCTACTGAGGGCCACATAATGAGACTCTTGTCTCAAAAAAAAAAAAAAAAAAAAAAAAGAACTAAAACCTTCCATTTGAAGATCTTTCCATTTTGTAACACCTGCATGATATTCACAGTTAAGATACAACATAATAGGGCGGCGCTGGTAGTTTAGTGGATAGGGTGCCCACCCCATATACCGAAGGTGGCAGGTTCAAACCGGGCCACAGATGAACTGCAACAAAAATATAGACTGCCGTTGTGGCGGGTGCCTGTAGTCCCAGCTACTCAGGAGGCTGAGGCAAGAAAATTGCCTAAGCCCAGGAGTTGGAGCTGAGTGAGCTGTGTGACGCCACAGTACTCTACTGAGGGCGATAAAGTGAGACTCTGTCTCTACCAAGAAAAAAAGACACTGGGCGTGTGTTGGGCACCTGTAGTCCCAGCTATTTAGGAGGCTGAGGCAAGGGAATCACATAAGCCCAAGAGTTTGAGGTTGCTGTGAGCTGTGATCCCATGGCACTCTACCAAGGGCAACATAGCGAGACTCTGTCTCAAAAGAAAAAAGAAAAAAGATACAACATAATAAATACATTCCTCTCTGAACTGACATTTAGGTTTTCTCCCATTTTCCATTATTGAAACACTCTTGCAAATAACAAGCATATACAACATACAATAAATAAATACTTTAATCGTTTTCTGTAATATTTTTTAAAGTGTAAAGCTTTTAAAGCATTACAAAAATTTTCACTTACTTTGGATTGGAAATAAATGTTTCAAGAAACTTCTCTTTGATATCACCCATTTTACTGCTGTTCCAGCCATGGTGTATCAAGATACTTATGAAAAAAGATGTTTTGAAGAAACACTGCTTTTAAAATCTGCTTCTAAGAGAAATCAATTTTCATCCCTGCTTAAAAGATAAAGAAAAAATCAGTCATAAACATAAGTGCTGAACTATATTAAACACAGCAAGACAACATAAGAGAACTGCACAGAGGCTCACACCTATAACCGTAGAACTTTGGGAGGATGAGGTGGGAGGCCTACTTGAGTCCAGGAGATTGAGACCAGCCTGAGCAAATTAGCCTAATAGTAAGGTTGAGGCAGGAGGATTGCTTGAGCTCAAGAGTTTAAGGTTGCAGTGGGCTATTGTGACACTGCTGCACTCAAGCTGGGGTGAGAAAGTCAGATCTTGTCTCAAAAACAAAAAACAAACAAACAAAAAAACCGGTCTCGGAGCCTGTGGCTCACGTGGCTAAGGCACCAGCCACATACACCTAAGGTGGTGGGTTTGAATCCAGCCTGGGCCCGCCAAACAACAATGACGGCTACAACCAAAAAATAGCCAGGTGTTGCGGCAGGCGCCTGTGTTCTCAGCTACTTGGGAGGTTGAAGCAGGAGACTCGCATGAACCCAGGAGTTGGAGGTTGCTGTGAGCTGTGAGGCCATGGTACTCTAACCAGGGTGACAGCTTGAGGCTCTGTCTCAAAAAAAAAAAAAAAAAAAACCTGACTAAAACAAAAAAGAAGAATCACTACCTAGAACTGCAGCCAATTGAATACAGGCTTTTAAACAAATTTTGCAATTAAAAAAGTTTTTTTTTTTTTTTTTGCAATTCCACATGATTTAGCAATAGAACAAAGAGCAACATTACCTAGATCCAGAAATGTGTCCATTACTATTTCTCTTAAATGCAAACACAAGTGCAGCTTTCAAGGAGTACACAGTATTTATTCTTAGAAATAGTCACTCACAGGCAGGGCCTGTGGCTCAGTGAGTAGGGCATGGGCCCCATATATGAGGGTAGTGGGTTCAAACCTGGCCCGGCTAAACTGCAACAAAAAAAATAGTCAGGCGTTGTGGTGGGCGTCTATAGTCCCAGCTACTCAGGAGGCTGAGGCAAGAGAATCACCTAAGCCCAAGAGCTGGAGGTTGCTGTGAGCTGTGACACCACAGTACTCTAAGGATAACAAAGTGAGACTTTGTCTCTAAAAAAAAAAAAAAAAGAAAGAATAGTCACTCACATGATATACACAGCACATATACTCTCATAATGCTGTGTGTCTGCTATCAGCTCCCAGATCCCATACACAAGCTCTCACTACATCACTTAGAGTAGTATTCTGTTTCTAGTTAAATAAGGTATCAAAAAAGGACTACCCTTGGCCTGTTAAATACTTACTTAGAGGAATGCATGGGAAGTCCTAAAGTCCCAGATAAAAAATTCACCATCTTATTTAAGTGTAAATTTTTTAACTTTCCAAGGTGCTTCACCACCCTTTCATTTTACTCTCATATTAATCATGTGCGGTATCTTCCTTTGGATCCACGAAGAAATTAAAGTACAAAATTTAAATGACTCACTTCGAAGGACTTTGTGGTCAGTCACTGACAAATCGGGAAACTTTGAGCAAGTCATTAACTACATGGCCCTCAGCTTCCTCAATAGTAAAATGGGGGAAGCAACCACAATCTCCATGGGCCGCTGTGAAAAAATGACAAACCACCAATATTACACCCCTTGTTTTTAATCGGTCTCAGCGACTATTTGTGCCCTTCCCTTAGTACTGATACATGGGCCCTCCCATTAGTCAACTACGAAGGCCGATTCCTCAGTGTCAGTGCACTACTGCCGCTGCTAAGCCTGCGTCCCTACGGTGTGCTCTGCACAATTGACAACCACTTTCCTATAGATTACGTGTTCTGACTTATGGCCCCGGGAAGCAGGCACAGTGGAACAACAAAGGCGCAGAGAGGTCACCCGATTACCTTCCCAGTAGTTCGCTGCTTAATAAGTAGCAGGGGTGGAACCCAAATCCAGGTCCTCTGATCAAAAAGGACATTCTCCGGACATCAGAACCCCTCTGCCCGAGGCCCAGAGGCAAACACACCCCACCGGGGGTCAAATTATTCACCTCAAGGAAGTGAATTTCAGAGAATTCCCTTGGCCCGGAATCAACTCCGAAGCAAAAGCTACAGAGCCTCGGACGGTCAGAGGTTTGAAAAATATCCTACAGGAGCACAGACTAACACCCAGGGACCAAACCGAAAGGCTTCGACTTAAAGGGAGTCCCTCAGCCCCGCCGGGTGTCTGCCGGCACGAGGGGGGTGCCACAGGAAGCTGGCGGCCACCTGCCCGCCATTCTGCAGGACCGAGAGAGCCTGCGGATGCCGGCGGCTTCGCCCTAACGGGAAGGACAGACAGAAGACCTTTACACTTGCAGACAAGCCTTCTGGGACTGCCCAGTTTTGAAGTGCTTTCGACCAGAGGAGACAGCAGCGGTTACCTTGACGGCGCCTCACCGTGAGCCCGCCATCTTGCTTCAATCCGGGTCCTCGGAGACACTGCCCCGCGTGGCTCTCTGGGAAATGTAGTCTCTGTGGGAAGGAGGCCGCGTGCAGAGGGCGGCGGGGTTGGGTTTTACCGGCTCCTGCCTTTAGTTGCAGTAACGTTGACCGCAAGATTGTCCGAGGTAACCCAGGAAAACAAAACAGCTGCCCTGCTCACACATCCTTAGAAAGTAACAAGTACTTTTTTTTTTTTTTTTTTTT